CCTTGATGTCCTCGCCGTTGCGCTGCCCCACCATGCCCGGCAGCTCACGGCGCACAAACGAGTCGATGGAGGCAAAACTCAGAGAGGGGACGGCCGCCAGCATCGCCCCAATGTTGTCTCCCACTTGACCATACACACGACAGAGGACCATCCGCTGGGCGTGTGTCATGGGCTGCTGGTCCTCAGTGCCGTCCATGTCCATCTCCTGCTGGCGGCATGCCCAAGCGGCATCGATGGCCGCCCCCATGGCCTCCCTGGTGGCCGCTGAGAGGGGCACCGACTGCACTGGCGTGCCAGGCAGGACCACCTCCACGGCCAGCTGGGTCAGGGCAGACCCACTCCTGAACCGCAGACACAGAGGCGTGTCGGGATGGGCTCGGCCGAGTGCCTCCAGCTGCTGGTAGAAGTGGCGAATCAGATGCCCCCTCTGGACCGGCGTCACACGAGGGCCGCGACTGGCCGTGTGGTCCGTCGGCGGCGTAGCCGGAGGGTTCTTCTGCAGCCAACTGGGGGCCTCGATGTCCGGCGAGGAATTGCGGTGAAGGCGATTGTCCCTTCGGGGCGGCGGTTGATTGGTGTCAGGGCGAGCACTGCGGTCGATTTGCCCTCTGCCCCGCACACCACCGTCACGCCGCTGAGGGGCTCGATCGTCTCTCGGGCGCACAGGGCCATCGTCCCGGCCATCATCAGCACTCATCAAGTCATCCTCGGGCGTGTAGTGGCGCTGCACCATTGCGTGGCGGTGTTTGATTGCCAACGCCTGAAATAAAGAGCATTCCATGGACGGGTGCTATGTCGGTACTTCTCATCTTTGGACCTTTGCTCGGTCGAAGCCATGCTCTCTGACGGAGAAGCTCTTGCTCTTCCTTTTGCCCTCCACCTGCCAGCTGGCCTTCCATGCGTTTTTCGTCTTGTGGTAGTGGACGCCCTTGACGCCGCTCTGCTGTGCCGTTTTCTTCTTGACTGCTGCCCGGCCAATGCGCTCCATCTCACGACGATGCTGCTCGGCCAACGCCTGATGCACACGACAGACACAACGAGCGCTTGTTTTGTTGCATGACGTCAGCTGTGAGGCGCTTTGCTACACCTTTGCTTTGTCGAAGCCGTGATTCTTGACAGTGAAATACTTGCTCTTCATCATGGGGTCCCCCTTGTCGTACCAACTCGCCCTCCAGGCCTGGTCCCTCTCATACCATGAGACGCCCGACACGTCTGATCGGTGCGGGGCAGCCCTTCCTACGACGGCTGTGGCTGTCTTGCCACTGTTGGGGCTCGGCCGTCTCTCCGCTACGGATGGGCTCCTGCTGGCGAGAGATGCATCTCTCCGGCAATGCTTCCGAGATGGGCTGCGGTCGGACGACTGATCACGCACCGACAGGCCCAGCTCCTCCTTGCCCCCCTGCTGCTGTGGGTCGAGCCATGAGAGGTCGATAATGGTCGCTCGGTCGCCGAGCTGGTCACGGTGGATGGTGTTGCGGTACGCCACACACAGGCGGAGCGCATCGAGGGTGCTGTCACGGGAGTCAGGATCTTCGATGACGAACTTGCGGAGACCCAGGTACTTGCCCTGTTTGAAGAAGTAGGCGGTGAAACGTCTCGGTGAAGCCATACAGATGCCCACCCTGATACGACATAACACAGAGGATAATAAATGTGTCGCCTTCCCGTGTCCTGTGCGTGGCTGACCCTCCATTGGCAAGCGGACAGGCGTCGTTGAAGCGTCGTATCAGTCGGTCCGCCAGGGCTTTGGCGAGGGCAGTCCCAGTGAGCCCATCCAGGTCGGCCTCATCGCGCGCTCTCTTGCGGTCGACAGTCTTGCGCTTGGGGGCGGGGCGACGCGGCGACCCCCTCTCTTGGTCGCTGCTGCGATGCGTCTGACGAGTGCCCGTTGAGTGGGGATGGGCGGCCACCGGGGCATTGCTGCTGTGCGTGCATTCGGGGCAGAACCACTTGCCCTTGGGGACGGCCGTCAGCTGGACGCAGTAGGTGTGGTAGGCCGCAGAGCAGCCCCCGTTGTCACACAATAGCAGAAGCTGCTCGTCGTCGCCCTTGCCGCACTTCAAACACCGCACCGAATCATCCGAATCACTCCCCGCCTCCTTAATGTCGTCGGTGCTCACCCTCTTGCGCCCTCGCCTGCCGCTGTGACGACTGGTGGACTTGGGGGGGAGGAGGCGGCGTGGCGGACTCGAGCTGCTGCTATCGCGGTAGTCGCTGTCACCCCCCTCACCACCAGACGACAGTGATGATGTTGAATAGCCCTGCCACTCCTTCTCAGACGGTGAAGCCATCTCGGCATGGCGGCTGGCCTCACTTGACCGTGGCTTGGGGCCGCGACGCCCGACTGAAGAGAGGGACAGGGAAATGCGCCGATGGGGTGAAGAGCACTGCTGGCCATCAGACTGCTGACCCAAGTGCCGAGATGACGCCATGCTGCCGCCCCGCATATCGATGTCCTTCTCCTGTGCAGCGGGGGGCAACGGCTGAGGGCGGATAGCCTCGGGTCGACCGTGGCCGGCAGCAGAGTCGTGCGGAGAAGGTGGCTGGTGGACGGGCTGGCTGTCGCTGCCGAAGGGTGTGTAGTGCCTCTCCTCCATCGCACGGCGGTATGCGATCGCTGCCTGCTTGGCAGGCTCGTAGCCGTGCTCAGCCACGGCGAAGGACTTGCTCTTCCTCCTGCCGCCCTCACGCCATTGGGCCACCCAGCTCTTGTCTGTTTCGTTGTAGTGGACGCCTCGTACGCCGCTCTGATGCTTGGATAGTTTCTGGACGGATGCCCGACCGGTGCGCTCCATCTCGAGACGATGCTGCTCAGCCAATGCCTGACGCACACGTTTGGGGGAACGGAGAGTGAGATAGAGGTGGGGTGCTGGAGTGACATGTCGGCACCTTTGCTTTGTGGAAGCCATGGTCCCTGACGAAGAAGTTCTTGTTCTCCTGCTTGCCGTCGTTCTTGCTGCCCCACTTCGCTTGCCAGTACTGACCCTGCTCAGACCAGTAGACGCCTTTCACGTCTGAGTGATGGTGGGCCCTCTGAACGAAGGTCTTCTTCTTGCCCCGGGTGGCCCTGCGCCTCGGCTGTTCGTCGGGCGACGACAACTCACCACGTCCATCCACCTCGTTATCACCACCAGCGCCGCCCACATCCGCCTCTCTGCCCTTATGTGCCGGACCCATGGAGGCCGTACCACTACTCGTGCCTTTGTCGGCGTCATGCTTGTCCGTCGGCTGTGGGTGCAGCTTGATGCGCCGCACGTCGACCACGATTGCACCGTCGCCAGCCGTGGCGTTGCGGTGGTGCGCCGCTTGGGCGAAGGCACGCAGGATGAGCCGCGATGAGGTCACGTCAGACACACTGAAGACACGCTCGTCGTGCCTGGCCTCCCCGTCTTGTCGGTAAGCCACAAAGCTGGCCTCCTCGCCGCGCCGCTCGAGACCAAGACTGAGTGAAGCACACATCAAGGAAAAGGATAATGAGTGGCCTATTCCATCCATCAGAGTGCATTCCTGCTGTCCACCTGTCGGCATCGCCTCGGTTTCCGTCCGCCAGCTGCCGCTTGGCCTGCTCCACCAGGCTGGCTGCCAGAGAATGGCCGCCCCCTTCACTCAGCCTCGCCGACACAATTCTTTCCTTCCCGCCACCCGACTGGCCACGACGGCGCTTGGCTCCCGGTCGATGTGGCAGCTGCTCGCCATCACGACGGCGATGTGCCTCCGATGTGGGTCGAACGGGAGGCGGCATGATCTCATCCTGACTGTCCCTCCTGCTGCCCGGGCGATGGCTGGGCTCCCCACTCTCCAGACCAGACGGGTCGACCATCGGCCTCTTACTGACACGATGTGCGGACCGGCCTCTGCGACGGTGCCGATGCCGAGTATCGGATGACGCAAGGTCATTGCTGTCAAGTGTGTGGTCACTGGGGCCCTCAGACAGAGACGGGGGCGGCATGGGCTTGCGCCTCGCTCTGTTGCCACGGCGCGTCCGAGGTCGATTGCAGCCGTGGGGACCGATGTCATCGAGCCAGCTGATGTCCAGGGGTGCGGAGGCCTCTCCCTCACTAGCAGTGCTCAGACGGTTGAGCTGCTCGACGGCGCGGCGAAAAGCGT